CAGAAGAAGTTGGGATATATGTAGACTCGAAATTAAAACTGAAAGCAGTGATGTGTAGATCATCTGTGTCCGGTATTCCACTGAAATCAATACAGCAGCACATTATTTGATGTGATACTTCATCAATTTCATTCTTTGTTCAGAATAAACACTCACTTCAATTCTGATGCCTGCAACACATTTCAAAAAATGTTGGGACTGTAAAGCGCTTACCACGGTGTGGTGTTTCTGTTCCTTCTCACAGCACTTAAAAGACAGACCCTGGCTTTTGGACTTGTTGCTGGTAACAGTCTGGATGGTTTTTTCACCTTTGGTCCGGAGCACGTGGCGTCCATTCCTTCTAAAAAAGACCTGAAATACTGATTGGTCAGACCACAGTATACGTTTTCACTGTGTGATGCTCCATCCCAGATGGAGCAGTCGACTAGCATCTGGACATTGTTGACAAAGGGCTTACTTTTGGCACAGTACAGTTTTAAGCAGCATTTATGGATGTAACTACGTAGTGTAGTGCCTGTCACAGGTGTGCCAAAGTAATCCTGAGCCCATGTGGTTATATCACGTATAGAAGAGTGACAATTCTTGATGCAGTGCCATCTGAGGGATCGGAGAGCACGGTCATCCAACTTAGGCTTGTGCCCTTGGCCTTTACGCACTGAAATCACTCCAGAGTCCTTGCATCTTTTAATCATGTTATGCATCGTAGAGAGCAATGTATCCAAACCCCTTCTTATCTTTTTTTGAGGAACATTGTTTTTAAGCATTTCAATAATTTTCTCACACATTTGTTATAAAAGTGGGCGATCCTTTGCTCATCTTTGCTCCTAAAGGGCTCAGCCTTTCCTGGATGCCACTGTTTTACCAAGTCATGACTGCAGTCACCTGTTGACATCACCTGTTTCAAATGGAATCATCATTTCACTGTTTTACCTCACTACTGGCCCTAAAATGCAACAGTCCCAACTTATTTTGTGTTGCAGGCATCAGAAATGAAATGAATGTTTATTTTGTAGAAAGAATAAAATTGAGCTATCACATCAAATAATGTGGTGCTGTGTTGTTTTCAATGTTATTCTGATTTGGGGTTGTATTTAAGATAACAATTTGTCATTGTTTTTCATTTTCATTCATTAATACTGACAAGCATCATATATTCTTCTCTGGCAGGGTTGGCACCAGGGGTGGCCAATCAGATCCCGATGTGTTGGCTCTGCCCATACTTGTGACACCTTAAAATGAAGAAATGTCTACTAGCAACCTCTGGTCACAGATTGTCAGATAAATAAGCAAGGGAGATTTTTGTCTACTTGTTTTATTTGAATAATTTTCAGAGGAAACATTTTGCAGTAAGTTTCTTTGCAGAGGAAAGCTTTAAAAATAATAATAATTTGATAAAACGGTCTCAGGGTCTATTTAATAGCTGCTTTTGGGTCCATGACACATGTGCAACTCCATCTAATGTGGAAAATTAAATGATATGATTAAAAAATTACAGAACAGGTGCAGAGTGGACATTAAGTTGACACTGTTTGTTGTAGTTGTATACACAGTAAACAATGAAATTCGAACCTTAGTGTTTTTTTCTGTTACCACCTTGTGACCCGTCAAATTTGTCTTCTTACCCCTTGTGATTGTCCCAACTCCCAGGTTGATTCAGAGCATATGAATATTGCCAATCAGTCAGCCAACTGCAAACAAAACATTAGGGGCAATGCAAATGACAGAATCTTGTTTTAAAATGCGTTTGTCTGTTTTAAATGCTGGCCACTTCACTGACACAATAGTCTCTGTTATCCACGTTGAATCTGTAAGACCAGAGAGCCCAAAGGTAGTCAACAGTCACACTGACATTCTAACTAGTCAGTCAATCACTCAAGTGATCAGGATCAAATCAGAATATAAATCAAAGCATGTGGTTTCATGAGATGTACTAAAAGGTGAATTTAACAACCTTTAAACAGTGATACATTTTTCTCTGTGGAACCACACTAAGTTGATCCTCACTGACAGACAGTGACTGGGGATGCTTTTGAGGCAAGGATTAGGCTAAATCTGTGTTTAGGGAACCCAACTTCCTGTGATCTTTTTGAGTGACAAAGTGCTATTCAAGTCAATTAAAGATGCAGTCCACTTAAATTAACCTCTAGGCTGAATCAAAAACATAAAAGATGTAACTAGAATCCATCATAGTGGCAGTTCAGTGCATTCTCTTGTCATTCAAAGTGACATCTTTAATGATTATCTGCCACATGCTGCACTTTGAAGGTGTTTTATGGCTTTGAACTGTAATGTGCTTGTTTTGAGTTTTTGAGAATGCTGTCAATGATTGGATCACCAGTTTCCAGAGTGAGTATTTTCCAGGTGGCTAAACAGTTGAATAATTTGCAATGGAAAGAGCGTTTCAAAAGAAAAACAAGACATAAAAGGTGAACTTGAAATCCTAATTCAATACTGCAACCTAGAGGTGGATATTAGCAATAACATCTTTTTTTATTTTACCCAATACAAATAAAGAAATATATACTTTATCTGTGTAACATCAATCAGTTGAATGTGTGCACTGAAAAATCCACTATATAATAGTTGAATCAAAACAATATTATTCTATATGTGGTTTATTTATTTTGATATTGCCTTAATGTACACATGAAAACTTATCATTCATATGCTCTGGGCTCTGTCTCTTTAATTGATCATTATCTGAGGTTTTAGTTTGACTGCCTTTTAGTCCCTCTCTGGGTGTTTACACTATTTACATTTGAAATGAGAGAGAAAGTCAAACAGCATGGATCATTGTTTTGAATTATTTTCCTTAATAAGCAATTATACTGATCAAACACACTTATAACATAGTCTGGTTTGTTGTGTAGTGTCCAACAGTTGTGTACTGTGAGATTTACACTGACTGGTTAATGTGAAAACTGAATGCCAGCCGATTAATAGAGAATACAAGGCTGATTACATAAAGCCTCATTCTCTTTATCTTATCCCTAATTCTCTCAGTGTTTTCTCTGGTATCCAGCACTTCAGTGTGGCAGTGATGCCTGTAGGGGCAGCTGAAGTGGGTACTTATTCCACCTATACATAAAAATGTTGTTAAAAAGATTGCATTTGAGAAAGAATATTCTAAAAATTGGCCGTAATATTATATTCAGAAAATATTGTATTTTATTAAACCAATTCAAAAAGATGATAGTATTTTTGTGTAATGTTTGTCAAAAGGCCCCTGAATGGTCAGTGGACTGTATATAAGGAAACTAGAAATAAACTGACCTAACTATAAGCTTTATCAAGAGGGAAAGTCTTTGCCTTTAAAATAAAGGTAGAGAGGGTGTCTGCCTCCTCAACTGAGACTGGGACCTTCTGTAGACTCTAGGAACCACAAGTAGACCTGCACTCTGAGAGCGAGGTGCTCTGTTGGGATGATAAGGCTCTATGAGGTCTTTAAGATACAATGGAGCCTTGTCATTAAGGGCTTTGTATGTCTAAAATCTATTCAGAGAGGTTGGGGAAAATACTCTTACCCTATTTTTGTGTATTGTGGTTTTAATGCTTTGTTGCCTGTATGTAACTTTTTTATTTTAAGACTAAGTGTTCTTTCTGGCCTTTGACTCCTTAACTGACTCCAAAGGAGAGCTGCACAAGAACTCCTATATGCCTAGACAGTCTGTTTATGCATAAATGGCAAATAAAAATCTTGACTTGACTAATATGGGAGCGATATGATCTCTTGTTAGTTCCTGTCAGGATTAACTGGAGGCTTTTTAGGGACTTGCTGGGACATCCTGATAGTCAACAGTTACAGTAGTATTTGCCAGCAATGCAGCTCTTTAACTGAAATTGGCCTCCCTCACCCAACCTGCACACAACCTGTGCTGTGACCATGGGAAAAACAACACTTGAACAAACATCTCAGTGTTACCTAACCAAAAGCTGGCTATAAGGGACTGTGAGTGCAACTGCCAAATGCACATGTACATTTTCCAGGAGGTGATCTTGATTTGAAATAACAGGAATTAAAATTAGAGAATTAATACAACAGTGACTAGTCAAATGCATTGAAACATATTTATCTTAAATGTATTATCTCACCATCCTCACAGTTTCTGTATGACTTACAGTAACCATGTAAAATTATCTTGTTTCCAAGCAATTAGACAGCAGCTAAAAATAAACAGTTACTGGATGTATTGGAAAGGACTTGATTTCATACAGTATTAGGCAAGATGTGAATTCCACTGTGGGCTCTAAAACCAGTGTCAGGTTATTTACTTGAGTAAAAGTAACAGTAACAGTTTTGAAATACTATGTTGTAAGTAAAGGTCAAGTAATAAAAGTGTTATCATCAAAATATACTTGAAGTACCCAAAGTAAAAGTACTCATTATTGATTATAGCACATTTCAAAATAATGTATATTGAACCCATTATTGATGCAGTATTGTGTACACTTTAATGTTGTGGCTCAAAGCTGGTAACTTACATGATATCCTGCTGAGTAGAAACTGAATTTTCCCCACTGAAATCATATTTTATCTTGTATAATAATACACCACAGTTAATTTATTGATTGTTTTATTATTAATGTGAATCTGCAAAGTAACAGAGAAACAAAGTTATCAAAAATATGCAGTGGAGTAAGAAGTGGAATATCAGCTTCTGATTGTAAATAGTGAAAAAAGGAAACATTCAAGTCCACAAAATTGAGATTAATTACAGTACTTGCATGACATGAAATAATGACCCCCCTAATATAGAGGATGTTGTCTCACATGCTTCACATACTGTGACTCACACCTTAGTAGTCCTAATTTTAAGCAATTTCTGTATCATTATTTCCATTTTTACACGCTCACTGTTGGTCATCCTCATCCACACCTAATGCAGCCGCTACGTTTTGGTTCATCCCACACAAATATCACGTGTTAACAGACGTGCAGATAAACAAAGTGAAGGGTGTGAAGAAGTCATTTATAAAAGCCAGTTTCTGCTCAGGACAGACTTTGGCAGCAGACCAGTACAGCAGCAGGTGAGTTGAACACAGATATGGTACAAACAGACCAATCCTCCTTCCATGTGAATACTTTTACAATGACCTCCATATGCTGAATGTAATTAAGCCACACACATATCCTGTTGTTTTCTGTTCTGTTTTATTTGACTCTAGAGGGCAGTCAAACGATTTTGATATCAAAGGTTTTGTCCAGAATGCAAACCTTGGAAACTTGGTGCGCTCTTCTCTTGATCCTCTTATGTGTCCATGCAGATGTTGTAGAACGCTTTGAGGTTTATGACCTTATTTCAATAAATTCAAAACATCTTTTTGTTAAATCTGTGTGAGTGTTGTGGTTTACTTGGGAGCCTGTTATTTTATCTCAGGATGTACCAGAGTGCATGAGTTACTTCTATAAAGAGAAGGTGCCAGAATGGGGAGTTTCTACAATTGGTGCTGCCCATCTCTGCCAGCGATTTGTCAACAGGTCGGTAGGTGGAATTCAGGCCTCTATACTACAGTGTACTGTATATTGGTTGCTATATTGTGAATGTTCCCACTTGGATTCTTACCTTTTTTATTCACTTATAGTGCTGCTTACTATTTCCAGCATTTTTTTTTTTTTTTGGCCTTTGTTTTTTGTATCGCCACTTCTGATCTCTCAGTCGCTATACTTAACAGGTACCACTTCGCCACCCTATATGACACCAACCACCGCATTGCGGTCTACTCTGCATATCAGTTCCAGCCCAGCAGTGGAGGTGGCAGAGAGACAAGGTGGTTTGTAGAGCCTCAGGTTGGTACTACACATCTTTATATTCTATATGTGCATCTATAGCATTAAGACAAAATAATGAGAATGAGTGTCATACATATACACATATACATATCACAAGTATAGAGAGCATTTAATGCATCTATCTAGGCAGCCAGGACTCAAACCTGGAACCTTCTTGAAGTGAGGTGACAGTGCTAATCACTGGACCATTATGCCACCCGACATAATGACATCTTATAGTAAATTACTTTATTAGAGGAGCAGTGCTTTCATTTTGGCCATTGATGCCCTGCTGAGATTTTTATGGGCCCTATAGCTGGTTAACATTTCCTGGCAAGCAGAGATGAAGGATGACTACCGGCTGGGGCAAGACCACCCTGGTGTCTACCTAGGAAAGCGACAGGCTCTGAATGAGGATTACACCAACTCTGGCTTTGACCGTGGTCACCTCAACCCCAATGGACATCATGCAGGTAGGAGAAATTCAACACTGGGTTTCTTAGCCAGCAAAGAGCTGTAGCTATAATTTACATAAACAAAAGGAATATCACAGGATTATTTTCCAGGATTATCTACTTGTATGTGTGATTATGACTTTTTTCTGTCTGCATTCACTACATATTTTATGATTGTGAGCTTGAGGAAACAAAATTAAAAGTTTAACTCTGTGCATGCCTCTGGGATCTTCCACAGTTTTGCACCTTTACAAATGCTGATTCAAAAATTAAATGTCTAGCTAGCAGAGTGGTCATAACTCACATTTCTTAAAAAATAAAAGTGTATCAAATGAGAACATCCAAAAGTGATAACATCTCAGGGATCACTCACCACCGCCTATCAGTTGCCTTTATCTGTAGCCCCTTTTAGTTTTTCTGAGCTTTATAGTAAGATACCAGTCAGACTGCATAGTCCACAGTTTTACTTGGGTTGTCTCTTACAGCCATTTTGTTTTTGGCTGCATAAAAAAACAACTTTACACTACCTGTTCAGCATCAAACAAAAGACATAACTTTTTTTTGCACTCACAAGCAAAAACAAATTAACTTGCTGTAACGCTTCATCTCTGTTATAGTACCTAGCCGCAACGCCACTTTCACCCTGACTAATGTGGTTCCTCAGAACCCAAAGCTGAACCAGAATGCCTGGAGGATCCACGAGTCCCAGCTTGCTGACCTATTCCAGGACAAGTGCTCTAAGGCCTATGTGCTGGTTGGTGCCATTCCCTCTGCAGACAATTGGATTGTCAAAAACAATGTGAATCGTGTCAACATCCCTGATTACCTGTGGAATGCCTACTGCTGTGTGGACAACAATGACAGGCCCATTCAGAGTGGCGGTGCCACAGCAAGGAATACAGAGGACAACTGGGTAGAGAAGCTCACTCTGGATGAACTGGGAGAATTCTTACAGCAGTTTTCCAGTCGACCAGTAGGGGAGCTGTTTCACAAGAACTGCAGGGCATAAGACATTACAGGAGGGATGATGGGAAAACAATTTTAGGTGCCATTGCCCTTTAATTTTACATTAGATTTGCATACATTAACTGCCCAAAGCTGGTTTTGATATTGATTCATGTTTGGTAATACAATATAAACAAATTTAGTTTCATGTGCCAACATGGCACATGTGACCATTTTGTTATGATTCTGTACCGTCTGCTTCAGGTCTCCTGCTTTTATTTCGACATTACTTCCCGTTACAGTCTCATCTGAGCCATGGACTCTTTACCCTAATGAATGACAATTGTTTGCACCTGTTTTCACCCTTTTATAGGCAGCTTCCTCCCACCAGGAAGCTGCCAGATTGTTCTAACTCCTGTTCAGACTTCCCAGCATTTTTCTTGCACCTGTGATTCCAGCTCTGACCCCAGATTGCCTTTTTGACCACCGATTACTGCCTAGCCCTCCTGATTCTGATTGTGTACTGTGCATCGACCTTTAGACTTCCCTTTCTGACTGTGCTTCTCATGGATACCTTGGATGTGTAAGCTTGCTGGCTCTGACCCTGAACTGTATTACGGACCTGAGAGTGATACATGTTGAATCAGACTCCTGCAGTGTGTATCATTTGTTTTGTGACCAGTACACTTATTAAAGAAACAGTGTTCTGCTTATCCTCGTCTGGCCTTATAATTGAGTTCACCGCTTGACATTATCGGCAGCTTCACACGCTGGCCCTGACACATTTAACAGCTTTAAGACTAATGCATATTACTGTTTTCATTAAACAATAAACAGATGAATAAAAAACAACAGGAGAATAATGTGATTGCTTATAGGTGTGTTTTTCTTAATTGACATGAAAGGCAAATATCAAAATACACATGTGAAAAACATATTAATAACACAGCTAGAATCCCTAATTGTAATATAGTGTATAAATGAGTTAATCAATCAAATTAATGTTCTTGTCTTATCAGAAAGATGAGCCACCACTTTAGGGTTACCTAATCATCCATTATTCACAAGAAATAATGTATTAGTGCATAGTGCAACCCTTCCCATAGAGATTAGGAGCACATAATCTATCAGTGAAAAGCTCAGCTGATTGACAGAAGAAATATCCACATTATTTGTAAGATTATTAGGGTTAATATATGACACTACTTTACAAGTAAAGCATGCTTTGTTCTTATGAACAGGTCACCAATGGTGTGAAATTAACTCTAAAATACATACAGCAGCAATCTATCAAAGCTGAGAAGCTCGAAGGTGAGTTTGCGCAGTTTCGCATCAATGCTTGACAGCAGCAAAATGTTTACCACTACATGTACCTCAGCAAACAAATAATATAAACCCAACAGTCAGGTGGTAAAAAACTGCCTTTAGCTCCTACGCTGCACACAAATGGAAGATGTAACGTACTGGACACTTGGTGGCACACAAGTATAACTGCAGTAAGGCTCTGTGTATTCAAGGTACTGATTTCTGTGTCATCACGGTTTTGTTGCTGTTTGTGAGTTGAGCTGTCATGGCAAAATAAAGCCTGACCAGTCAGGCAAGCAGTGTCTGAGAAACAAGACGTTACAGGTCCAAGTTTGTGACTTTAAATGTGCCCCTGCTCAAGCCACAGTCAACTCGAAACTGAAAGCTCTGCTGCGTTCATGTGCCTTTGATTGGTTGGTTTCTCTGCAGTACTTTTCCCTGCTGCACTGCAATTTTTTAACTTTTTACTGCATTGTAACTATGCTATAGTTGTGTTTTGGATCTTATTTTGTCTATTTGCATTTTTTCACTTTATGTATTTTATTTCATGTAAACAATTGTTTAATCTGATTTGTAAAATTTATTTTATTCTGGGTTTTAATGTTTACTTTTAATGTGTTATTCTAATCCTTTTCTTGGCTTTTATGAAGCACTTTGAAATGCCTCTGTTTGAAATTTAAGCTGCTTTGCCTCCTGACCACAAGAACATGGAAACCCGCCCACACCCATTTGATAAGGATAGGATAATCACCTTTATTGGCCAAGTATGTTACACACAAGGAATATGTTTCTGGTACAGAGCCGAGGCAGCCATCTGCAGCGCCAACTCAACCAATGGTTCTAACCATCGGGGGCAATGGGGGATTTGGTGTCTTGCCCAAGGACATGTAGACTGCAGGCACGAAGATTTGAACCTTCAACCTTCTGGTTGGGAGACGACTGCTCTACCCACCACACTGTCACTTACCCCTTTTTTGTACTGTTTGCCTGCTCCCTTTGGGTTTGTTTAGTTTTATTATTATAGTTTTATTACCAAGTGAAATGCATTTTCTGTATTAACTGCCTTGCCTCTGTCCTGCAAACACAGTGCTGTCATTAGCTTTGTGTAGAGTGTCTGTTTGACAAGATTCAAGATTTTTATTTGCCATTTATGCATAAACACACAGTCTAAGCATATAGGAATTCTTGTGCAGGGCTCTCCTGGAGTCAAGTAAAGAGTTTAAAGCCAAAAGAACAAACACCTAGTCTAAATATAAGATCACCCAAGAATACAAAATACAAAAAAACAAGAATACCCAAGAATACGAAGTAGTTGCTAAAATTATGAATGGAAGAAGGAACGAAAGCCTATGAGATCTGAGGAAGACATGGAATATGTTTTTCTGCTTTGTCAGCATAGCTTGCTCTGTGAATAAAAACATGCAAGGCAGGAAAGATGGACAGTTGAATATGATAATAGCTACCTGGGAGGACTGAATGGCTTGACTCATCAGTTTAGGCCTCCTCATGGTAGGACTGGATAAACTGGTTGGACGTGGTGATCAGATGAGGAGGAGGGTGGATGAAAAGAAGGCTGTGTGGAGTCAAATTTACAGTAAATTGTGTTAGGAAGTAAGGTTTATCAGATATTCTTAGCTGGAGGTGTGTTTCAGTCAGCTTGACAAATTCTGAGACTGTAAGAACACACACTGACTATAAAATATCACATTTGTGTATTTATTTCTTGAAGAAACTTATGAAGACTGTGTACCACTAAACAAATATACTCTATACAGTACAATTTTACACAAACATCATCATAATAACTGTGGTATTAATGACTCCCTTCCATAAAAATTCAACTGTAATATTGCCAAAAGACATTGCATTTGCATCAGGTCAGACCCAGGACCCAAACCAACAAAGGAGCTTCTACTTGATGAGGGCAAGTCTAAACTATATACTGTAGATCAAACATTCCAGACAACACTAAGCTTTTGTTCGGCCAAAACATATATGTATGTACAGTATGTATATACGTATTTAAGACTAAAGATGCACAGAGGCCTGTGTGGGTCTGACCCCCTTTCTCCAATATTCACAATGTACAGACTTGGCTAACATTTGCTGAACAGAGAGAGAGCTCCTAAAACATCTAAATAAATTTGATTTGCACAACAAACAAACAAAACAAAAACAGTGTAAAGAGGGCATAATGCTTCTTCTGGTTTGAAAAGACTGGCCCTAAAGTCTAGCCGTGCTGAGCCTCTGTCAGTACACTGAACAATGCTTCCTCCATTAGTGTTTTTTGTCATGTTATAATCAACAGCTAAAGTTTAAAAAACCATTAAACACTCATGCCTCACTCGTACTCATGCGTATCTTTGGCCTCAACCCATCCACAAATATGTTAACTTGAAAGTCTTAACAGGTTGCTGTACAGACACTAGTCATATTATTATGTACTCACCAATTCACAGTTCAGTTCATTCCAATTCATTAAGCTCAATTGGCACGACCACTTACATATTACAGTATTGCCAAAGCAATAGCATTCCATTTAATTCATTACATTCAGTACAAATTGTCCAGTTACTGATAAATTGGAGTACGTTTTTCAATGATGGCAACATGTCCAGCTGATAACTCTTACTATAAATGTTTAGAGTCACTTAACATTAGGAGTAACATGCAATAACTAACATTTTGACTTTGCTTTCTCTCTATTACAGTAGGTTGCTGTACCAGTTGGATTTGGACTGTTTGGTTAATTCTCCCTCCAGCTTATCATGCAACAATTTCAGAAAGGCATTTTGGTGGAGTCAGATATACCAGCACACACTTGCATGGCCCTGACAAGCTTATTTTCCATTTTAAACCCAGATCATGGCATTTACTGTACGTCTCTTATAGAGCTCGACTGACTGACTATTGTTCAGTATAGTATTAAGATGGAGGTTACCAATTCATAAAAGAACCATGCGTATATCTAGAGAATTTGTGTTTTTATGACTCAGAAAAAGAACCTTTTGTCTTTTTTGTAGGGATAACATTTACTAGCAAAATTAATAACATGTACAACAGAGTTTACAGTGCTAGCACTAAGTACTAGAAACAAAGATGTGTAATGAAGCAGAAATCAAGCGGCTGCTTGTCAAGTCAGTTTATTTCTAAAGCAGTTTCAATAAAACTGATTTTCAAAAAACAGCATGGTTGTCTGGCCATTCTCCATCCAGCATTTTTGTTTTCTGGTACAGACTGAACTCATCTCTCTGCACTTTTAGTCAGCAGCAGTCTGAAGTTCAACCATATTTGACCATGGGGTGGTCGCTCCAGGGAGGCAGGTTGGAGAGTTTCTCCTCAGTGGCTGTTTCGATGGGCCAGCCCCAGGCCTTAAAGAATCCACACAGGTTCAGCCCCACAGTGTTGGAGAAAGTCTCAGCATACAGGTTCATCTTTCCCTTGTTGTCACCAGGAAAGTTGCTCATCTGATGGTAGGCTCCAAACACCTTTTTAAAGGCACCCCAGCCAAACTTCTCCTGGAGCTATATGGAAGGAGACACGGGTACAGGGGAATGTAAAAACAACATGGTTGTCTGGGCATTTTCCATCCAGCATTTTTATTTTCTAGTGTATAATGAGGGTTTAGGGTTTTATGGGTAGAGCAAAATATGATTATTGGGTGTGATTCTGTTTAAAATGTGACTCCAGTGTCACCCAATCATAGTTTCTACACAGGGTTCATATAGACAGTAATACTCTCTTACCTGCACATAAGTCTCCAGTGCTACCCACGTGTCCCAGCCACTGAGATCCCTGCCTGCCCTAACATAATTTTGTGCTCGTTGGTTTCGGTCTGATAAAGCCATAGCTGGGTGAGCCTGCATTGAACAAGACAAAACAACATGACTATGAAAAAATATAATCCCAAAATACTTGTTCAACAAAGGATAAAAAAGAGTTGTTGTCTTTTGTGACATTTATTAATATAAACTGTGTCACAATATAGCTTAACCTTCCTGTTATGTTCTGGGTCAAATTGACCCAGTGCAAAGTAACAAAAAAAATCTAAAAAAAATAGTTAAAAATATTTTATTGGTATGAAACTTCGTCTGCTTGGCGTAATAGGTGTGATCAACATATAAAATGAAAATGGTTCAATTCACATATTTGCAACATCCCCCTGCATGTTTATATTACAAAGATACTGTTCAGGTCAACATAACAGGAGGGTTAAGACTTTTTTTTTCTAGCCATTGGTCTCAAGCACTAAACTGATATACTCCACCTCTGCCTTGTTGAATCCCAGCACCTCTTCATGCACATACAGTGACCACAGGTTGCATGTACACTCTGTGGTGTGTGAGGGGAACTCCCAGCAGCTTCTCTGTTGGTTGTGTCCAAGTTCATGAATGGGACCCCAAAGGTTTTGCTTCTTAGATCGGGTAATGTTGACCAGTTCAGCTGCTGTGGACTTGTATGCCATGACAGGATAACCACAATGCATCCAACCTGAGCAAAGGAAAATCAGGAAAGCAAAGTTTTATATCAACGACTCTTTCAGGTTTCATAGCTAGGAAAGAGAAACTTTGTAGGACTTCACATTGTTGTGCATCTTCACACAATCACAGGGAAGTGCATAATGCATGACCCATATTAGTGTTAGATGTTGTAAAAAAAATTTAAGGAGTTTTATAAGTGTTGCAATAAGGTTTATCTGAATATCAGCAAATTTTTGGAATCTCAACATATGCCTGCACTACTTAAGCACCTGTGTTACAGAATTTCTTGCTAATTTCCAAATTTAACTTGCTACTTTAGGTCAGCCAGCCAAAAGGTAGCTAAACTAGTAGCTTAGTTGAGAGAAATGCCTTCTTCTTCTTCCTCTCCTTCTTTCTTTTGCTCAGAGTGTCGCATGTTCCTCTCTGCTCTGTTGAAGGCGGAGCTTGACCCCGCAACTGAACCCAAGTCAACACAATTACTCCCTACTGTCAGGAAGAGATGGAAATGGAGGCCAACCTGTGCCTGCCCAGTGATGCATAATAAAGCGGGTTGCACCGCATTGATGGTAAAACACCAGAATTTGCCAATTGCTGTGAATGTGAGTGTAAATGGTTGTCTGTATGTGTGTTAGCTCTGTGATAGACCTGTCCATGGTGTATGCTGCCTCTCACTCTGTACCGGTTGGGACAGACTTCATCTCCTTGGGACTCTCAATGGGATAACAAATAAGAAACAGGCATTTAGACTATAAAAACCAAAAACACTTACCATGTGAAATCTGCACATCAGTTACAAAACGTTCTTTGCGAGGAAATTTGGGTGGTATTGCAGCCAAGTCAGCAATGCCCCTCATGATGGCATCCCACATCGCTGCTAACTCATCAGGGCGCTCTAGGTTCCGAACAACATCTGATGGTACAGTAAGGATGATGTTTTCAAACTCCAACTCTGCCCAGGGTGAAGGAGCTGTGCACAGCATGGACCACTCGGCAAGTGTTGTCACACCTGAAGAGAACAAAGGAATGGGTGTATTCAAAACTAACCATTAATTTTAATTATGTAAAATGCCCCAAGCTAGGAAGACCCCAAACCTGTTTGGGTTTCATGAAGAGCAAGTCCCAGAGAACAAATGAAACTTGAGCATTACATTTTAAACAAGCCCTTAGCAAAGGGCCCCGGACCCCGTACTCCCGGAGCACCCCCCACAGGGCGCTGTGAGGGACACGGTCGAATGCCTTCTCCAGATCCACGAAACACATGTGGACAGGTTGGGTAAACTCCCATGAACCCTCCGCCACCCTGAAGAGGGTATAGAGCTGGTCCAGTGTTCCACGGCCAGGACGAAAACCGCATTGTTCCTCCTGAATCCGAGGTTCGACTATCGGTCGAATTCTCCTCTCCAGTACCCTGGCATAGACTTTCCCGGGGAGGCTGAGGAGTGTGATCCCCCTATAGTTGGAACACACCCTCCGGTCCCCCTTCTTAAAAAGAGGGACCACCACCCCGGTCTGCCAGTCCAGAGGCACTGTCCCCGACCGCCATGCGACGTTGCAGAGGCGTGTCAACCAGTGTCAACTAGTGTTAGATGTTGTAAAAAAAAATTAAGGAGTTTTATAGGTGTTGCAGTGAGGTTTATCTGAACATCAGCAAACTTTTTGAATCACAACATATGCCTGCACTACTTAAGCACCTGTGTTACACAATTTTTGCTAATTTCCAAATTTTACTTGCTACTTTAGGTCAGCCAGCCAAAAGGTAGCTAAACTAGTAGCTTAGTTGAGAGAAATGGCTTCTCCTTCTTCTTCCTCTTCCTCTCCTTCTTTCTTTTGCTCAGAGTGTCGCATGTTCCTCTCTGCTCTGTTGAAGGCGGAACCTGACCCGGCGACTGAACCCAAGTCAACACAATTACTCCCTACTGTCAGGAAGAGATGGAAATGGAGGCCAACCCGTGCCTGCCCGGTGCTGCATAATAAAAGCAGGCCGCATTGATGGTAAAACACCAGAATTTGCAGATTGCTGTGAATGTGAGTGTAAATGGTTGTCTGTATGTGTGTTAGCTCTGTGATAGACCTGTCCATGGTGTATGCTGCCTCTCACTCTGTACCGGTTGGGACAGACTTCATCTCCTTGGGACTCTCAATGGGATAACAAATAAGAAACAGGCATTTAGACTATAAAAACCAAAAACACTTACCATGTGAAATCTGCACATCAGTTACAAAACGTTCTTTGCGAGGAAATTTGGGTGGTATTGCAGCCAAGTCAGCAATGGCCCTCATGATGGCATCCCACATCGCTGCTAACTCATCAGGGCGCTCTAGGTTCCGAACAACATCTGATGGTACAGTAAAGATGATGTTTTCAAACTCCAACTCTGCCCAGGGTGAAGGAGCTGTGCGCAGCAAGGACCACTCGGCAAGTTTTGTCTCACCTGAAGAGAACAAAGGAATATGTGTATTCAAAACTAACCGCTGATTAATTATAATTATTATGTAAAACGCCCCAAGCTAGGAAGAGTCCAAACCTGTTTAGGTTTCATGAAGAGCGAGTCCCAAAGAACAAATGAAACTTGAGCATTACATTTTAAACAAGATGCTCCAACTATATGTTGCTCTCTATTCCTGAACACCCATGTTTACACCAGAAACCATCAGATGCCTTCCATTAACCCCATGAAGACAGAGATACACACGTCAGCAAACGCACACCACAGATCCAACCATCACAGACTCACCAGATTTATAATATGGTGCAGGTACAGCTATCTGCACTATGACCTCTAGCCCCTGCACTTGTGTATTGGGTGGAGCCACCACGTAGATGAGTCCCCCCCACAGGTTCCACACCTGCATCATTGTTTTTGTTATGGGAATCTGTTCATGAACACACGGTGCTCTCTTCAGCTCTGCATGGCCCAGATAGTCTGTTTGACAGCCTATCTGGATCTGAGAAAGACATGGAATGTGTGTTACTGCTTTGTGAGCATAGTTTGTACTGTAAATAAAAAGATGCATGGCATAAAAGCTAGAGAAGTGGATGCATTTTTATTTATTTAACCTTTATCTAATCAGGAATCCCCACTGAAATTTGAAACCTCTTTTACAAGGGAGAACTACCCAAAATGGTAGGATTTCCAATTATAGACAAAATAATAAAACCACATAATAACATTACAGTCACATAAAAAAGGCAGTCAATAAAATGCATTTAAAATGTCCAACTAGTTGAAGAATTGCAGAGACATGGTGAATGACACAGATGTCAAGGAATTTACCATGGTCTTAATTTAAATTGATAACAACAGGAAAAGAATCAATTTGTTCTAATCCAGAATGTCAAAGCATAATACAAGCTGAGGTGCAGTGGTCAGGGTTCATACACCACGGTGCCCATGTACTGTATGCGTGTCGTGTGTGCCAGCTGGTGCACTACAGTGCGCACATAGCAATCCATGTAATGATGTGCAAAACAAAATATAGTAATGGACTTGAAGTATATGAGAGGGACTAAATTAATACATTGAATGATCGTATTTTGACTAAAACATTATTGGCTCCTGTAGATGGATGTAAAAAAATTCTTTAGAAGAAGCCAAGACAGGGAAAAAGTTCAGAGAGCTGAGGATGGAAAAGGTAAGACCTGGCATGAAATACAGTGAATGCCAAGTATGTTGCATAACACATCAGACATAGCAGTCTATGTTAAAGTTGAACTATTCATTCTTAATTTAGTGTCAGAGAGCAGGTGGACCTGCGACAGGGTGGAGGAAGCTGTCTGTGCAGGGCTCTCTATGGAGACAGGTGTGTGTGACCACCAGTCATCCATTGCTCAATTACACAAGTACAATACACAACAGTACCTTCCATCCCTTGTCGACAATCGCTGATGGTATGACCAAGTAGGTCTTCATACCAGGAGAGAGATAGAGACCTGTACTGAGCCACTCCTCACCTCCTGACACACACAGTAGCAGCAGCAAAGGTTACATAGACATGTTTTGCCTTTCTCCTTCTTAAAAATGAGATTTATACATCTGGGTTTAACTCAGATAAAAAGTTGACATACTGTATTTGTACACAACAACAACCAGGTCTCACCTCCTGTGTTGGCATTAATCCTGATCCTTGCATTATACACAACAGGCAACAGTGGGTTATTCTTGATGAGGTGGGGCAAGAGAGCATCAGGATTTGGGTGAACCTTATATATTTGTGGACCCACATTGAGCAGTAGATGGTCTCTGGGACTAGTCACAGGGTTGCTTTCACACACCTTGAAAGAAACAGTTAATATTTTAAAACATGTTGCTCTAACCCATTTGATCGCTTGCTAGCTGTGATAGGATAACCATATACCACAACTATGATCTACAATATAATGCTTTGTTGCAGCTCAGTGACACAGAAACAGCAGTCCAAAGATACTCACCTGTGGCATGCCACACTTCATTAAGATGTCAGTGAGTGTGGACACAATCTGCTGATAGGAGGAGCAGTCATGAGCCTTCATGTTCAACAAGATGGAGCAGTCGCTGCCTAGTTTTTTAAGACATTCTTCCTCGTTCGCCGTAAGCTTTTTCCCATATGTTACATGGCCAGCAAAGCGGTTTAGAAGATGACGGAAGTGGTAGGTATCTTTGATGGCCTGGCTGGGGTCAGGGGCCTTGTATATTCCTCCTCCAATTGTTCCCCCCAACAGGCCCAAGCCCATTTTGTACAGGATCTTGTTCCCTTAAAGAAAATGTAGCAAAAGTACCATCATTTAACTGACTCGAACACTGTTGAACCTAATCATATGGACTGGACTGATATGGGTGAATTATAGGAACACTGATGCCGATATTTGTTTTTCCAAGATCCACTTCATATGATTCATTACCCTCCCCTGTGTATCTGCTTTACTGTATGTACAGGACCTTACAACGTTTCACCATTAGCCTATATTTGTACTCAGTATTTCTTCTTTGCATTAATCTTTACCAAAATGCCCTGTTAGCCCTATCTCTCTGTCAGTTGTCAGCTCTAGTGTTTTATTTTCACATTAGCTCAACATTTAAGGGAAAGCTCTGGCACAACTGACATCTTTTACCCTTATAAACTTTGATGTGGTTGAAGTGACAGCAGGTCATTTTCTTGGGCGCAGAGTGGATTTTTTAAGAAGGAGAGAGCGCCACCTTATGCCCTGCTCCAATTTCGCTCCAGTACTGCTCACACCATGAGCCTGAAGCATGCCCAAACCTGATCCATAATGCATCTGTTTTGCACAGTCATCCAACACTTTTCAGTCAAAAAATGGCCATTGCAAGCTCAATAATGACTTTTAGAAATGCCTAACTTTAATTTCAAATAAACAATTTCTGTTTGGAAAAATGAGTTGCCATTCTTTAGTACTTTGTAATGTAAGGCTATGTTTAAGCTAAAAGCACAATACATGCAGATTTCTTCCCCTCTTTTAGAGTGAGTGGGTGCGATTTCAGTGGAGCGGGATGCAATCTGAGTTGAGCGCTGAGTGATTATGAACAGAGCATGAATGGAGCAGCAGAACAGCTCAGTGAGCAAGGAGCGGAAATTCTCACTGCTCCACTCCGCTCATATGTTCCGGTACCTGTAGCAGGTTTGAGTTCTGAATGATATGTGTCATTGCCTTGTACATTTTCACACTAGCACCTGCATTTAGAGCATAGCACCAGTAACACCTTTGGCATGCATCATGTTACATTTCCATGAAATGAGCAGGTGATGCATTATCATACCTGAGAAATCCGTCAATGGATTTTGACCACTGTTTGTCTGTGCCCAGTACCAGGCGTGGCCCCCAACCAGCAGGCCTCCTCCCTCTGCCACAAAGTCTTGGATTTCTTTCACAAGATCATTTTTGTATGCGGTACACACAAACACACTCAGGCCTTCTCTTAGGTTTGTCTTCTCACACTGTAACCCAGACTTTCTGAGAATGTTAAGGGCATGATCAGGCTCAACACCAATCACCCCCTGTCGGCCTTCATCCAACCAGTGTAAAGCATTGTTCCAAAATGGAGCCAGTGCCTGTGATAAAGGCAGTTATTGCAGGAAAAGAAGTAGTTCATTAAGCATGTAAAACAACTGGCAGATCAGTATCCATATCATTATTTAACATACTCTGGACAGCAAACTGCTGATGGACAGAAATTAATATACAACAAAATAAATGTTTAAATCTAGAGTAATGTAAACATTTTTACAATGTTCTGAACATGACTTACTGAAGGCAGAAATTCTAAGACCAATCTTTAATGTAGACTCTACCTCTTGTCCCAGAAGCCCTTCATGTGAAACCACAATGACTCGTCCTTGGGCATAATAGGCTCCTGCCAGGCATGCCCGT